ACAAGAGAACATTATCAAGTTTAAGTAGTTGCAATAAATAATATAAATAAATAGTTTATAAAAATGCAGGATAGTTTTTATGATGGATGGTTGGGAGATTAAGTATTTGATACCGATGCAGATTTGTAATTTGTATCATAGATACTCTTCAACTGTGAGTGACGGAATCTGAAACAAAGCCAGACAATTACAAAAAATGACTTTGCCGTTTATTGCATGACACAAGTATTTGATCAGAAAAGCCAAAGTTAATATTTGGTACAGAAACCGTTGTTTGCAATTAGACATCATACGTTTCCTGTAGTTTTTGACCAGGTTCCACACACTGCAGCAGGGATCTTGGCCCTCTCCTGGAGACGAGCTAGGCCACTCCAGGACCTTCGGCTGCTTCTTTCTCCTTAGCTGCCCCGGCTGTGTGTTTTGGGTCGTCATGCTGGAAGACTCAGCCAAGACCCATCTTCAGTGCTCTCACTGAGGGGAGGTTTTTATCTGGCGATACATACAAACACGGCCAGTGGAGTTTAGACTAAAAAGCTCTATTTTTGTCTCATTAGACCACATGACCTTCTCTCGTACCGCCTCTGGATCATCCAGATGCTCATTGGCAAACTTCAGACATCTAGACCTGCGCTGGTTTGAGCAGGAGGACCTTGCGTGCGCTGCAGGATCTTAACCCGTGGCGACGTAGTGTGTCACTAATGGTGGTCCCAGCTCTCTTCAGCTCATTGGCCAGCGCCGTGTGCTTCTGGGCTGATCCCTCACCCTCCTCGTGACCATTGATGCCCCACGAGGTGAGATCTTACATGGAGCACCAGACCGAGGGAGATTGGCCGTCATCTTGAACTTCTTCCATTTTCTAATAATTGCTCAAGCAGCTGTTGGCTTCTCACCAAGCAGCTTGTCTGTTGTCCCGTAGCCCGTCTAGAACTCTCTCCCTGATGTCCTTACACAGCTCTTGTCCATTGTGCAGAGTCTGTTTGGTTGACAGGTCTCCTACTGGTTGGTAGGTGATCAAATACTTACGTCATGCAATATACTGCAAAATATCTATTTTTGAAATGATACAATGTGATTTTCTGGATTGGTTTTAGATTCCGTCACTCAGAGTTGAAGAGTACCTTTGATACAAATGACTCCTACATGCTTCATAGGTGGGAAACCTGCAACCTCAGCAATGTATTAAATACTTGTTCTCTCCACTGTATTGATCATTGCAGCTGGATGACGCATCGCTGCAGGAAGCAAGCTGATTTGAGACGCGATGAAGACAACAAATAGAAGAATAACTGAAGCGAGTTGGTTTTGTGTGTGTTGTGGTTTGCGTTGACATTTGACACCTGCTTCAGGGGAGTGAGGTTCTGACACCTAATCAGGATGCGTATCGTTAGAGCTGTTTAAACCAACAAAACGTAGCAGATTTAACATTTAACCAACACTGCCAGATTCCTGCACACTATTCCCTGTTCAAGTAATAACTTAAAGCCTTCTCAAATAGAGCGGCCCTTGTCTGTTTTGGGAATGATGCAGGTAAGCTACAAACATTCCCACCCAGGCGTGAGGGGGCTCAGCCAGATGCTCAGCTGCCGGGCCGCACCGCACCACCTGTTTCCATCAGCTGTCCAGGCGGCCCGGTGGACTTTCTGTCAAAGATGCATCAATGAGTGTTTACACCGATGGTGCAGTCTCTGAAGTCAAGGATCGACTCACCTTTGGGACGCGTTCGTGAAAGCCTGGAGGTGTGATGCACGTTGTCGTCTCTCTTGTTTGCGGCGATTTAGGTTGTAGCGGTCCGATCTCGCAAGGCTCCTCTGGTTTATTTTGTGTTTAAACGCCGTCGCCCGCTCCGCGGTGCTCCGCGCTAATCGGGCCGCAGGTGGAATAACGATGTTGGGCTGAACCAGAGCGGAGAAAGACAAACCATGAAAAAAATGCCACTTAAGGCGCGCTAACTCTCGTCGGCAGCTTGATGTAAAGCCCGGTAGCAGGAGCACGTCTTTAAGGGCCTCATCCTCCACTTCTGCTCTCAGCTGGCAGTCCCGGCCTAATAAGAAACACGACATGGCAGGGCCCGCTCCTCCGTCGTCATCGCCGCGTGGAAAAGTTGCCGTTGCTTTGATCATGTCTTCTGGGCGCATCACTCCGGCTTAGCCCGCCGCTCGCTACGTGATAAGCCATCAGAGCACTCAGATCTAAGCCGGCAGCTCCACGGGCTCCAGGAGAGACGGGCGGGAGCGCCGGAGACGAGGAGAGAGCGCCGATGCAAATTTTGTTGACAGACTGTTGCCGCAGCTGTTCTCTTCTGCCTTTGAATTCCGCGATGTTGCTGTCCGTCTTTGCTCGTCTGTGCGGGAAAGGGCCAAGTTGCAAGACTTTCTCTCCTTATTGTGGAACGGCGCCGTTCTCGTGTGGTGACTCGGCCACGTTGGCAATAAGAAATGCCTTTTTAAAATTCGACTCATCGATTACTCGCCTCAAAAAAAGCCCGAGTTCATTATTGCACAACGCGTACCGTGCAAGCGCTGCGTTGTCGCGCCGCTCTCGTCCCGTCTGCATAAATCAGGCTTTTCTTTGGACCCCCCATTATGAAAGGGCGCTCCTAATTGACGGGATGTTGCTTGTTTATTTGATGTATATTTACCGGCTGGGTGGTAATTGGGGAGCAGTAATTACCTGAGATGCAGCCCGGCGCTCCGGCGGAGGTGCTGCCACGCTGATGAGTGTGGAGCACGGAGGGAAGTTACTGTCGTCGTCCTCGGGGCTGTTTAAATATGTGACAGCGGAGAGCCGCGATGGCTAATTGGGCCCCGCGTCCCTCGTACGGGTTTCCGTGTTTACCGTGATGATGCACGGTGCGAGATAAAGCGCGGCGCTTTGTGCAATCTTTTCTTTTTTGCAGGCCCATTTGTTGCCAACGTACCTGAGCAGTTCATAGCAACAATAAAAAGGTGTGTGTGTGTGTGTGTGTGTGTGTGTGTGTGTGTGTGTGTGTGTGTGTGTGTGTGTGTGTGTGTGTGTGTGTGTGTGTGTGTGTGTGTGTGTGTGTGTGTGTGTGTGTGTGTGTGAGGGCCCTTGTAGATTTGAAGTCCCTCCTGGATGATGTAGTTCCTTCACTGATAATGGCCTTGTTAACTGAGATTCATTACCTCTTCATTCAGAGTCCCTTCTGGATATCGAGGGAAAGTGTTCTCGAGCTACTCGCTCGCCCACGGTGAAGTCATGCTGACGCCTTCTGCTGTTTGCCAGCTATTCGTGGAAGGCGGTGACGGTATCTTCCCAGACTCCAGATGATTCAGTTGACCTGAGGTCAGGGTGGCTGGGTTGGTGTTTGACTTTGTTTGTTACTCAATTCCACTTTCACACCATCTCTCTCTCTGTCTGTGTGTGTGTGTGTGTGTGTGTGTGTGTGTGTGTGTGTGTGTGTGTGTGTGTGTGTGTGTGTGTGTGTGTGTGTCTCTCTCTCTCTCTCCCTCAGCAATTCCCTCAAACGCACAGAGACGCACACCGTGTTTGTGCTGTTGTGTGATTGCTGGCTCTCCCAGTAGATCTGCAGACTTTGTTGTTGTTTGCCTGTATTGGTTGGAGTGTGTGTGTGTGTGTGTGTGTGTGTGTGTGTAGCTCCTTGGAGGGAGTTTGTTTTTGTTCTCCGTGTTGTAAACAGGGCGAGGCTTCGTTCCCAAACCACTCAGTTGGTTATTTTCGCAGGAGTTTTTTGTTTTGTTTACCATCTCGGTCAACCGATTTCTCTGGGATGGAATCCGGTTTCGGGGGCCGATGTGCGGCCATCCGTCCGTCACTGTCATCTCTGTGGTGATTTAAAGAAGCACTTTGATGACTCAAACCTTCTCAAGGCAGGGTCTTTAATCAATGTTACAATGTTCTCATTTTTAGTATGAGATGAATTGGTTAACGTGATCTCATCGTGGTCTCAGATGCAGCTGTCAATCACAGCTATCATGAGTTGTTAGTTTGATAATAAATACCTAAATGACAGAAACCATAAGAAAACATCCTATTTTACATGTTGTTTGACCACTAAGTTTGGGCTTCACTTTACAAACAGATCATTTCTTTTTGTTCCACATCATGACACGCTAATATATATATATATATATATATATATATATATATATATATATCTGAATGCGAATAGAAGAGGCCTCAGCAGCGGTTTGTGTAGTTGCTGTTAGTGCTCCCTGATGGGCGTTACCTCTGCACAGTAACCACGCACACCGGTAGTCAGGTGACCACAACAGGCGCGTCTCTGCTGCGTGAAGATCTGAGAACAACAAGAACGAGGGACAGACGACAGCCGCCAGCAGATGGACGTCCTTTGAGTCCAGCGATTACAAAACACGGTCACACAAAACCGCATTTACCCAATGAAACGGGGTGGGTCCATGCCCACAGAGACAGAGACAGAGACGCAGAGACAGAGACAGAGACACGGAGACAGAGACGGACTCTCCATCTGCTTCTTTCTCTTCTGCGACTCGTCATCTGCAGCGTCCGTGTGAAACGCCGATGAGACGCCACATTCTACTTGTTCCTATTTATCTCCAGTATCACTTCTCAGTGAGTGGCGCTGACACGCTGCGGCGCCTCCCAGCTCGCCGCGGCTAACCGTTTACTGTTTACTGTTTACTGTTTACAGCCCTCTTGTTTGGAGATTTAGCACCTGTTGTAAAAGCTGCAAAGGCGCCGCAGTTTAAACAATCAGCTGCTCCGAGTTACTGGATATTCCTCTGAAAGGCCGTCCATGTGGTGCGCGTGGAGTTCGTGATGCGCATCGATTCCTCGCCGCCAGGAACCAGTAATCCAACTCGTATCCGACTCCACAGGGGGATTTGTGTATTTAGAGTGCGCATTTGTGTACTTTGTACACAAGCGTACGCTGCGTTTGAGCGGCTCATTTTAACCACTGAGGCCGATGTCGCCGCCTCTTTGCTCTTTGGGAGTGAAATGAATAGATGAGCCGTCTCCTTTTAGAGCCTAATGGCCACATTGGAGCAGATGGATAGCAGATGAGAATCCAGTATCCTTCATGCACTCGTTCTCTCTCCCTTCCACTCAGTCACGCCGGGCTCTCCGGTCTTTTTTTACCGTAGTGAGAGACCTGTCGGGGGGGAGAGCAGTTTGACAGGCAAAAATCGCACAGCGGCAGAAAAGAGGAAGTAAAGGATCGAGTGTTGGCTAATGTACGATTTCACGCCGGTGCGGCGATATTAGATGTGTTCTGCCTCCAGTTTAAGTCTCATTGATTGCGGCGCCACATCCTCCCACCAGCTTCGCGCTCTTTTTTTTCCACCGAGGGAGCTCACGCCGGTCGGAGGCCGCGCGTTGTCAAGGTGGAGGCGGGTGGATGTGTAGACAGCGGCGGAGGCGGTTCCTCACCACCTGATCCTTCCTGGTTGCTGAGAGGGACGAGGGTGCTTCTGCTCCCAGTGGCCTCCTGTGATTCCACCTGTGACCTGCAGTCAGCAGCACGGCGGCCTGCTGCATCCGACCTCTGGTCACTGGCCACCCGATGCCACGCGCTTCTGCTTTCTGATCCACGAAGAAGCATAATGAACCGTTTCCCCTGCATTACGGGACCAGGGAGGGTCTGAACAGGTAATACTGTTACTGTAAATATGTACGTATGTAAACAATTGTTGTGGTTCACGTCCTAAATAGTCGCTAAATGGTGACGATGAATCAACGTAGGGGAAACGCTGATTTCCATCAGGATTCCAGTGAGCGGGCACGCCAATGTTTCCATGGCAGTAGCGCTGGTTGATGTGACCTAACGAAACCAAAAACACATCTGTATTATTAAAGGAACCCATTATTTTCAGATCGGGGCCGTGAGCAGCGAGTGCCAAGAGAGGTCTGCTCTGTTACGGTGAAACTATTTTCTCAGTATTAGACTTTCGGAAAACGACAATGAAACATTAGAAGAAAAAAATGCAATTCCTCTGCTTATTAATCCACATCAGAGTGGTGAAAATGCTGCATATCCACAGCTGCCTTTAAACCAGACAAACTGCAACACGCCACACACAGTCTCAGGGTCCATGCGGTGATCCAATGGGTTTCCACTCTGGTAAATAGAAGAGGACCCCGATAGAACAACGGTGCCCAGACTGAGCTCTCCCAGTTCCCCTCTGGCTGGGCAGGAGACCTACTTCAGACGGCTCTGAGCAGCTGGACAGAGATGTTCCTCGCTACTTGAGCTAACGTAAATGATTTGCATGGAGTTTGTCCCCGCTGATTACGGCGGTTTGGACCGCTCCTCTCTGGAAGAGCGCCAATCGCGGGAACGCGGCTTCTGGTCCGGGCCCGAGGCTCCATCTCCTCTTTGCCTCCCCCGGTCCATTCGCATCACAGTGACAATTAGCCAGCTCCACCGTCCCCAAATGGCACACGTAATTAAAGAGTTGGCATTCTAATTACGAGGTGTTTACTGTCTGTTTATGGGTTTTGTGCGGCGCATTACGCACTGGGAGATTTCCTTTGGTGTAAATGGATTGACGGCTGTAATTTCATGCGGTTAACATCTCGACATCTCCTCCCGTCAGCCGCTTGACGCTTGCCGCGCTCTTAACGAAACGAGCAGAAACTGGCACAAAAGAATAAATGTCACTTTGCCGGACTGGGCCTGTAAACGGGCGATTGGTTCGTTTCTCCTCACTGCCAGGCGGCCGGCCGGCTCTAAAACACCGGCACCCAGATGGCGTTCACGCGCTCCCGGGGAACCGAGCCCACTGCGCCCGGCCTGCTGCTAAATGTTGTGTCACCTGACCAGGTTCTTGTGGAAAGGTAGCCCCTCTAATGAGGAGGGCGGGATAAAGCCAGAAGAGTGAGAGAGATTCTTCTTCACACACGGGAGGAAAGCGATGAGCTCTGGAGTGTTAGAAGTCGGTCAACAAGGGGATTTCTTTACCTTCCTGCTCCTCTGCAGCTGGCCTCTGTGGGGCCGGTGGTGAAGTGTGTCCTCTGCAGCCTCTAACAAGTACCAGCTGCACGTCCGCGGGACCGTCGTAACAACGGAGAAATACTCCACAACGACCCCCCCGGTTATGCAAATGCCGGGGAAATGTGTTAGCGGATGGAAAAGCCCTATTTGTGTATGAAGAGGCCGTTTGTTTTATAACACGGATCCACATACCCGTGTTATAACAAGTTTACTGTTTAATCTACACCCCCCCCCCCACACACACATCTGTTAACCAAACCTACGCGTTACAGACAAACACAAACTATTACTTGTTGAGTTGTGACACCAGATGTGGTGGGAGAGAAGGGTCAAACTGTCAAAAGGTTAAAGGTCGAGCAGCCCCGTTGGTTGGAGATGGTATATTTATGTCCTTACCGTCCTGTGTTGCAGTCTTAAGCCTGATTGTAGTTTGCTTTCTTCTGTTTTTTTCCTCCCCCATGAATGAAGAACGAAACCTCAACATCCCGTCCCGTTGTTTAGCTTCTTCTCCCAGTCACCTTGTAATTGTTTCTGTGTCACAAGCCGCTATTAGCATTGCTGGGGAGCGGTAATGCTTCGAGGGGACTCATCCCTCTGAGGGGACGGCTCTCTATCACACTCTCGCATTCTCTTAAAAGGGAAAAGGAAGATGAATTTTGCCCATAAAGGCCGTATCACGGGGGCTTTTTATCCCAAATGGCTCTGGGGATTGTTATCTGTGGGAAGTGTGTCCTGCCTCCGTCGTGTTCAATCAAGTGTCCACTTAGCTGTGACTGCGAGTAATTGTTCCCAAGTGGGCCACACGCTGACCCGTTAATGCCGGCGCTGACCCTCTCACCTTGTCAGCACGTCTTGGGGAGGAGTTTAAATCATGTGGATGTCCTGCGTCTTTACGCTACCGGGTCAAGTGGGCGTCCCCCCCCCCACCCTCCCCCCAAAAAGACCACTCTCTCGTAATTGTCCCCAGCAGGGCGGGTGTTTCCAAACTCCGGCTCTCATGAGATGAGGTTCTAGGAGTGGGGTGAATTAATAGGTCACGCCATTGATCCGATGTGGCCCCCGGCCCCCCCCGCTTCCCCCCTCACAACCACTGCAGAGCCGGATCACAGTCGCGGTGTCCCTCACACCAGGATGCTGTGGTCTTGCACTATTTGACCGGTTTGAACCGGTTTCCACGTTGTAATTTGCGGCGTGCGGTGAAGCGAGCAGCAGGTGAGCTGGTCACACGTAGTCGCGGTCAGACGCCCTCGGCGAGGACGGACCGCTGCGAGCGCCCGTCCGCTCACGAACGAGAGGCAATTAACACGCGGCCAAGTGGCGTTTCCTCTCAGCGCGGCCGTCCTTTGTACGACCACACGTTTCCACGGCGAGCGTCAAGCGGCACGTTGAGGCGGCGTTCCAGTCGGAGGCCAACGTTCTAACTTTATGTCGCCGTGTTTGGTTTCTTTCAGTTTTATTTTTATTTCATGGACAAATTACTCACTAATACCGCGTTTTTAACATCCAGCGCCTTTTATTGGCAATAAAGTCTCTAATTCCAAGCCTCCTGAAGTGTGCGCTGTCCTCACACCCACTAACCTAAACCCCCGACTTCTCATGAGTCAGTCACAGGCGAACAAACCGAGGCCCTGCTGTGCATCCATGAACGCGTTGTCTGTTGGGATCAACGTATTTTCAGGGGGGGTCTTACCTGGGCCCAGGAATGTGGACTGCTCTGGTAATGGAGTCGATGGATAACGACGAGTCTGGTCAGTTATGGGTAGCGAAGTGATTATATATATATATATATATATATATATATATATATTTACACATGCAAGCCCACACATGCAGCCACAACTCCTGTTACGAGGACGGAACCAGAAGCCGTCCGTTCCTCCGCCTCGTTGGTCTGAAGCGTATCTGGAAGTCATTAGCATCTTTCCACTCGTTTGTCTGGCTACACGTGAGCGCTTTTCCAGTTTGACGCCAGCTTTTTAGAAAGAACAAAATGTTGTCTGGATGTTTTTCTGGGGGCACAAGTCATGCCTCACTTATGGGAAGGGAACATGCGCCAGGTGGAGACCACTTCAGGGACCGTGGGTCGCTGGTCACTAGCACACTAGTGGCTCCGTAGTGCGTCGCAGAGGTTGAATGGCGTTATGTAAGAACTATGTCATCGTCAAAAAACGTTCTGTGTTTCAGACGTCACGTGCCTGCCGGATCGCTTTAAAGGGAAAATAATATTCAACTTGTGAGTCCTGTAGTCGTATGTTTTGATCGTTCATTCACTGACGGGAAGTGAATGCAGCACGTTTTTCTCTTTTTTTTTTTCAAGTGGGTTTGTGAAAACATTCTTACCGCGGTTACAAAGGTCAACCGCGTGACATGTTTACTGTTTTTTAGGTTCGAAATGAATCACACTTTCTGTGATTCAAACTCCCTTGCTACTATTTGAGCGTCTTATCTGTGGAGCGGCGCAGATGAGGCGTTTGCGCCCCGACAGGAATCCGTGCGTCACATCAGATACTTGCGGCCGGCGATGATCACTCTTACTTTTGTCTGTTGAAAGGCCGTTGTGTAATTTCTGTACGTGTGGGCTCAGCGGGCCGGGTTAGGGGCTCCCCCCCCACACCTTTTCACTTCCTGTTTGTAATAGTTGTATCTCTCTCTTTCCTTCCGTCTCTCGCTCTCTTTCCTCCCCAGTGGTCCAGCCCTCGAGTCTGTAAGCTGAATTCTGATTGGAGGAATGGAGCGCCGCTCTGTCCGGCCCCAGTGATCCGGGTATGTGGCATTCGTACCACTAAGCAATCTCCCGTGTGTGTGTGTGTGCGCTGTCGGGTCTGATTGTCACACGTCCTCCACAAGTGTGGATGCGAGTGGTACAATAGTACGGGATACGTCTTGGGTTAGATGTGATCTAATTAACAAGTTTACTGACCGATACTGAAATCATTTTGTATGCATTTAGCTGCAGGAATGTTCTTGGGTCCCAAGCCTCTGCATGTTTTCATTCATATTCTTCTGTCCATCCGTTTCCCCTTCCATTGAACGTGCCCCGCCACCCCAACAAAGTGTCACTTAAAATGAAAATAAACACTTCCAATACATTCCACCGCCCGCCCCCAAATTAAAATAATAATCATTAAAAGAAAACCGCGGGGCGCCCCCATATATAATGGCAGCGGAAACACTGACGCGACCTGCCGACCTTTGCCAAGTGGAAAATATGTGGTGATGACAGTGAAATGCAGTCATCTGCAGCACATGTGTTAATGCGGCACATTGCCCTCTACCTGAACGGTGCACCGTCAGCTGCTCCGCCTTGGTGACTCTGTATGGGGGGGGGGGGGGGGTCACAGTATCTTCGCCCTACTGTATTCTTTCCGTCCCTCCCGCTCACCTCGGTCCGCCCTGATTGGCCGAGCGCTTTCTGCGCCGCGCTCTGGCTGCTCGCCAGCGGCCGCTGAGCCCCCTGATCACCAGAGAATGTGACATTTGTGCAGAGGTAATGGAATCTGTGTGCAATTAAATCTCTGCCTGTGAAGAGTATACCCGCCCCCCCCTCCCTCCCCCGTCTCCTGCCATTGCCAGCAGTGGGGGGGGGACACGATGATGAAATCTTCCCAGCAGGCCCCCCTTTCCCAATCTCCGTGTCAGGTTGTGTTTTTTGAACTCCGCTGCGCTGCCGCCGCATTCGTCTGGCAATTAATTACCAAAAACGTCTGTTAGTAATATTACATGAACAACCAAAGGAACGGGACGTCCGAGGCCTTTTAACGAACGTGGACACTAATGGCGCTTGTTGTTTTGCTGTGACCGCCGTGCGGCGTGTTCGGTGGCCAACGGCCCGAGTCTGTGATTCGTTGCCATAAAAGGAAGCTTTTCCCTCTTTGCTGATGGGGCATTTGCTCGTGAGTTAATACCCCCCCCCCCATCAGCTAACTGGTATCTAATGGATTTCCCCCCCATCAGGGCGGCTCATAAACGTGGAGCCATTGAAAGCATTTCCCTTGAACCTGTGTAGGAGTGTCTCCCATCCGTGTTCCTCGTCCACAGCGGGGGGGCGAGACGCAGGATATCCAGGTCAGGGTTTGGCCGAATCCTCCCTGTGTCGCGCCCGTCCAAAAGGAGCCGTCTCCTATCTGACCGTTCTGATTTTGGAATGTTCCATTACGCTGAAAAGGCCCAAGATCACCTTTTATTGTTCCAGCTTTAACACGAGGTCCAGTGCCGCTCGGCTAGTTATTTTTTTGTGCTGCATTATTAATGTCAGCGTTGGATGAAGGGTCACTCTGGTTTCCTCACCCAGGGGTTGATTTGAACAAACAATCACGCAGCCTCCCTGTTTCCTCAGAAACTTTACGCCTCTTATTCCCCACCATCCCGCTAATCTGCTTCTTAGTCACACAGAATCACACGTCACAACAGCACACCACACTGTCCTGTCGGCCAGCGGGGTCTCTCTTCCGTCGAGAGGTTCGCTCCGCTAGTGGCGGTTTAGACCGTTCTGACAGATAGACGCTGAAACTATTGTTTTATTGGTATAATCGCCCGGGGCCAGGCGTGGGGAAAAGTGGGGGGGGGCGGGGGAGGACCACCCATTGGTGCTTTTTTAGTTTTTGCCAACCAAATAAGAAAAGAACCAACAATGGGGGGTCCTGGGGAAAAACGGCCCCCCTCTCTCCCCCCGGGCGGGTTGTGACATGCTCACTGAGATGCTTCTCTCTTTAAGTAATGCCTCTGGCCAGCGACGCCTTCCACTCGGGCAAACGGGGGGGGGGGGGGGCGGATCAAGATGCCACAACAAAGGGGGAAGCGACCGAATCCCATTCAGCTGGTTCCTGTTGAGATGTTGGATTGCGAGGCTACAGAAGCCTCTGCCGGCCCCCAGACTCCCGCTCCTCTCCTGCTAAACATTCCCAAGGAGGCGTTTGCATGGAGCACCCATCTTAACCGCCCATTTGCTTGGAATACAACATCAGTTAGCAGCTCTTCCTGTTCCAGAGGGCGAGGGGTGTTTTACCTGAGGACGGGTGTTTTAGGGCTGATTTAGCTCAGCCTCACTTCCTTCAGGTGATTGTGTTTCTGCTTTTGAATAGAAGCCGTCCCTCATTGCATCCTCGGCACAGAGGATGTCATCACGGTTTAAGCAATAAACTGCTCCGAGTGGGATGTTGCCGCTGCTTTCACAAAGGCTTTGTGTACGGATTAGCAGTTGAGGATGTTAATTTCAACTAATATGTTGATTCATAAGATACTTATCGCACCACTTGGTGTCCTTTTGGAGATTAGTTCATCCTGCCGTTTAGATAAGCATTACATGGTTCTCTAACATGTAAATTTAGCCGGTTAGGCATCGCTGAGCTCGAACTGGATGCGCTGCTGTTGGCACCTGCAGCAGTGAAGCGGTAGTGAAACAATGAGGAGGGCTGTGGGATGTTTGAGCTGCTGTCACGGAACCGTTTAGCTGGTAAAGCAGCAGACATGTAATGCATCTCATTCTTCGTCCTGCCTGCACGATTAGCACACGTTGTGTGTTGGAGAAAAGCCACAAACAAAGTGCTTCTAAATTAGTGAGGATCGTTTTAATATAAAACCAGGAAATGATGAGTTCTTCATGAGCAGTAACTCATGGCAACACGACCCAGGCGGCGAGTCTCAGCTGTGGCCCGGTTCTTCTCCTCCTCTGCTGTCCTTGGAGGTCGGGGTGGGGGGGGGGGGGGCATCATAATGAAGATCTATATCTGATAAACGTCAGCGAGCGGCGAACTCGATGCCACCAGGCCGTCTCTGCACGCCGGCTGTTCCAGATGGCTGCAAACGGCACCTCGGAGCGTAGTAACGGGAGTCGCTTTGAAACAACGCGTGATAATCCACGGGATGGATGTTCACACACCGAGCACAAAGCCCGGTGGGGGGGGCGACGGGCAGCAGCGCTCCCTCGAGGATGCGGCGCATGGCTTTGGAATTGGCATCAAACAATAGCCAATCACATACCAGCTAGCAACTTATTTCGGGGGAAGCGCAGTGAGCCTCCTCCTCCAGTAGGGAGAGGTGAGCAGGACGGACTCGAGGTCTGAAGCCGAGACACGCTGTTCAGAGAGGGCGGAGATGAAGCGTCGCGAAAAACCGGGGGAAAGTGCAGAGAGAAGCAAATTAAAGCTGGTATCTGCCATATCCCCCTCGCCTCCCTGCACTTTCCTGTTTGGACTTGAAGGCGATTGGGAGCCAAGGCGGTGACAGTTGGCGGAAGCCGCGCGGAGGATAGAGTATTTATTTACAGCGAGACGCAGCGATGCTTGTTCAGGATGCAGTTTCACGCAGGATGTGCCCCCACGCCCCCCCCATCAACAAACAAACACGCACACATGCACTCGCGTACCTCCTCCCTCTCACACTACACCCCCGGGTTTGATGAAGAATGGGAAGCGGGTTATTGGGGCCGGCCGGGGGGCTGCATTGTGTGAGCGGCTGCGTCTGGATGCAGCCAGCGGAGAGCTCACTCAGCGCGGCTTCCTGCCCGGCCCAGGAGGTGGTACCGGAGTCAGCGCGGGTCACCGACAAAAAGGGAGTGCGAAGCATTAAGATTGCATTGTGTGACAAAGGTTGTCTATAAACGAGGGGAAAACACATTGGAAAAGAGAGAGCGAGCTGCCAGGAATTCCACCTTGTAAAGCCGCGTTTGGGGGCTTGAAGGTGTGTAAATCTCAGTAATTTCACTGGTTGCCGGAGTACAATTACCTTCGGTGTCAGCGCAGCGTGCAGCACTCACGTTACGGTAAACGGTTACGTCACACCACCCCGCAAACTGTACTTCAAGTCAAGTAGGCCGATCCATCTTCACCTCTATCAGCAGGCGGGATGCAGGGCGGCGAGCTCGCCAGCGTCCAGGACGCGAGATCTTTGCCCACTAGCGGCCGCGTCGGCATTAATCCTCCCCGAAAGTTTCAAAGGCACGGCTTTTACGACCTGATTTACGGCCTCGTGTGTGCGCACAGCGGCGTCTAAACTCTGGAGAACCTGCCACATAAAACGCACATCTGTTCCAGGCCTCAATTGTAAAAGAGCTGCCCCTGCATGTCGAGGCAGCGTTGAGTTAATGATACACTCAAGGTAAAGCTTTTAACCCCCCCAGCGAAAACCACTGCGACTGTCTTACGCTGACTTCGTTTGATCGTCTCCTGTATCTTTGCTGATTTCTTTCCATCGATTACGTGTTTTCGTTGAAGTGGAGCTGCCTCTGGCATCACTTCTCAAAATGCATATTTGATAATGAAAAATATGTGTAAAATCGATCATTTGACTGAATTCTTGACAGAATAGTTTGACGCGTTTAACGATGTCAACTCTTATCAGCGATATCTAACATCGCAACAAGTTATTCTACCGTAAAGTTCTTCTAGTCCTTTTACATTAGACAACAAATACTCCTTGAGGTCTGACACCACGACCGAAATACTCTGAAAACATTAGCCAGTGATGCAACAGGAGGCCGGGTTCTCATTACCGGGACATTTCAGTTGAGTCTGTGAAAGAGGAAGTGAGGTTTCTCCCTGAAGGTGTCATTGCTCTCGATGTACTGACAGAAACGACACAACTTAGACCTCCGCTCAAAGGCTGTATAGCATCCGATGCTAGCAGGGCTAATATCATCAACCGAGTCACTTTATCCATCGGTCAATATGGGCTGCTGTTGTTCTCATTTCATGCCAAATCATAAACTAATCCACATGTTGGATCACACTCGGGACAGAAGTAGTTTTCGGCGTATACGGTGACAT